CATTTAAAAATGTCATAGAAATTATAATTTAAATAATAAAATGCAAATAATAAGCATAGAGTTCAAAAATATCCATTTGGAATATTGAATATTATATATATTAGTAAACGCATAAAATGTCTCAAAAAATCTCTAAATTTATTAAAAACCTGCTTAAAATGTTCAAAATATATCAAATCATATAAATACAAGGCGATTATATTGCAATAACAAAGATAAATAACATTTGTAATATAATAGAAAAAATGGATTAAAATTTTCTAAGTTGATGAAGGAGTTCGTGTAATAATTGGAAAATTTCTAAGTTAATGAACGTGTTCTTGTAATGTTCCCTTATATTGGGGCGTTGTCGGAGACACATACCCAAGGTTGTACATATATATGGGGTGGTCGGCTGACCGACTGCTAGTACTAAGGTTGCACAATGACTAGTCCTATATTAGGGACTTAACATAGTAAGGTCTGACGAACCAAAGCATTAATATGGAAGGTCTCTATGATGCATAAGCATTATGATAGCAGAGTTATGACTTGAAGTCCCATATGAACAAGACATACAGTAGTATGGTCTATGAAATAAAGCAAATATGTGGAAGGTCTCAAATATGTAAAAGCATTATATTGAAAGAAATGGGACTTGAAAAAGATTATTATAGTGGCGTGTAGGTTGCTTCGCAGCCTCTGAGACCGAGGTAAACTTGGACTCACTAACCGATGTGTCCTAGACATATCATCTTAGTGCCGGTGGTAAGCGGGTTTGTTGTAGCAATACGACTTGCCCGTGGACATCGCACACCCCTACCGGTTGTGGGCGGCGTCTTAGCGCATAGCGTTATGATACGTCGGCTATCTTTCGGATTAGGGTGAGTGTGTTTGGTAGTACTTTTAAGTGCAGCAAGCATACTCAACTTCATGTCTTAGTGCAATAGCGCTATGATACGTGGAGTTTTGGCTACTGACGTCTTAGTACCGTACTACTATGATACGTTGGTGGTATTTTTAGTTAACAACATTATCAAATTTTGTTACCAAAGTCGATAGGGATCATGTGGGTGTGTTGTGAGGGGGCGCCATCCGTATGATAGTTGCATTGATGCTTACTGCTACTTGCAGTATTGTGTCTTGTGATGGATCTGCGGGTGTGCTGCACCTGATTCGATGCATCTTGTGGTTCTGGTCGATGGAGGTATGCGGGTGGTGATGTCTGCTGGGACTGTATGGGGGACCTTGGGATGGTGTAAGCCCGACGATAGTCGTATTGATGCTTGTTGCATTCTGTAGCATTGCGTCTCTACGATGGTTGTTTGGCGGGTCGCTATTCTCAATGGCGCTCTCTGCGTCTTGGTTTGACTCACAACCTAAGTAGCTTTGCCCAAGTCGGGTCCCTTCATTGCGGGGCTGCAGACTGTCTGCCCTCCATGATGTTTTATATAACAACTTAATAATATATCTCTATAAAGTTCCCACCTTTGAGAGATTGAAGGCAACTTGTTGGTGGGTGAGACAAACATGATCGAAAAATGCATATACTCAACGTCAGTGACACAAACCCGTTCTGATGGCGAATTATTAATATTATCTTATAACTGCCTATTGGCTATATCTGCCATTGTATTGGTTGGTGGAGCATATGTGTTGACCTCATGCGGGTGGTAGCTGGAGGGAGAATCTGAGGAGGCTCTCAAGGCTGCGGCCGAAAGCCGCGCAACGTGGGACCCCATTCCCTTGAGGTGAGCGGTAGACTCATGACACGCTCTGCGGCCAATTGGCCGTGCTGACCATGCAATTGGTGGTGATGCCTTACACTTACATCACGTCTGCAGAAACGGCGGTCTGGCAGGTGGTGGCGCTCACGGAGGGCTTTTTATGGTCAGTGTGCCGATTGTTGCCTAACCCGTGTGACGTACATTTCACTGTGGCTGGATTTGATCGTATTCTGTATGGCGTTTACACGCATTGACATGCGCGACTTCGGTCGATGTTTGTGCTTACGCACTATCAAGGGGCCAAGTCCTCTTTTACTGGTTCGCCAGTTATTTTGCTGTGGACTACGGTCCAGTTCCCAAATTTGCGTACCCTTCGGGGGGAGCGCATTAAAATGGTTGGCGCTCACCGTGCGCGGCGTGTGTGGGGCCGTGTACCTCCTCCACATTTTTTTTTTAAAATGTGGGAGAGCGAAGCCCTTGTAACTGGTATTTGATATAAATATTGTGAGCCTTTTCCAAGCGGGAAGGGATTAATTAATAAGGAATTGACTGTTGTGAACCAGATACAAGTGGAATAGGGACAATTTATTGTTCTTAACCTTTTTGAGCTCTGTCTTAGTGAACGGGGTTCTCTAGCTTATAAGACTCTACCAACAGCTTTCGATTGCTCTCGTGAATATTCATTCTTCCAAGATACACCTAAAAGAACTAAGTTACTATACAAACACAACGTAAAAAAGGGTCCTAACTAAGACGATCACGCCATAAAATTATTAAACGGCCTATATTTAAACCTTTAGAAAGATCAAGTTATACTGGTCACGTAAATTAGATGTATTTATATATCTTACAGATATAGATTCTAAAGAAATACAAGTATAAGTGGGATATACTAGAAAAGAAAAAAGATGGGGGGGGGGTTCGTTACAATTTGGTGCCGTGACCAGGATAGAGGTTAAATTTTAAATAGGAGGCCGGTAATATAAAATTATGAGGTAGGCTATATGCCTACAATTTGTTGTCCGTGAAATGGAGAGTGGTGTTTGCTGGGGGTGGTTGAGAGTCTGGGGGTGGGGCTTAAATATTAAAATGGAGTAATAATATAGGAGGTGTGTGCATAACGGAGCGAAATAATAAAAAGTGAAATAAGTGGAAAGACTCAATTAAACCAAGTGAAGGACACAACAGGTGTAAAAAAAAAAAAAAAGAAAAAGAAAAAAACTGCAATACTATATATTATAAAGTGAAATAAGTGGAAAGACTCAATTAAACTAAGTGAAGGACACAACAGGTGTTAAAAAAAAAAAAAAAAAACTGCAATACTATATAGTATAAAGTGAAATAAGTGGAAAAACTCAATTAAAGTAAGTGAAGGACACAAAAAGTGTAAAAAAAAAAAAAAAAAAACAAGTGGTAATAAATATTAAAAATGGCTAAAAATAAGAAAAAATCAACCTCAATTAAGGCTAAGCCTAAAGATGAGATGAAAATGCTTCAGAAATTAATTAAGAATGCAGTGAAAACCTTTGAGGTTAAAATAAAGGATCTTGAGGAAAAATTTATTAACCAAACGAAAGATTACCAAATTAAAATAAATCAAGGAGAGGTGTCCGGAGCGAGCACCTCACATGTAAATGATCCTAGACAAAATATTGTATATAATGTACATAATGTAACAATAGAAAAGCCGAAATTCGGAAATGGAAATACTCATCCAGTATCATTTTTGGAAGATCTCACCAATTATTTAAAGATAGTTCCATCTAATGGTCTCGAAATTTCGATAGCACAAGAGTGCTTAGTAGGTGAAGCCAAGTATTGGGCTCGCATTAATAATGTGCGTTGGACAACTTTTAATGATTTTAAAGCTGACTTCCTAAGAGTGTTTTGGGGTGAAGAAGAACAAAATAAAGTAAAGAGATTCCTTGTGCAAAATAAATGGAATAGAAGTACACACCCCACCATGGTTAGTTATTTTCTTTATGTGGTTGAGAAGGCACAAACATTATCATATCCGATACCTGAAAAACAATTAGTAACTGATGTCATCAGACATTATCCTAAAACTGTGCAGCAATTATGGAGAATAGCTAAAATTGAGACAATAATAGACACGACAGATTTCTTAAGAAACTTAGATGACATCGACAAACAAGATGAAGGTCGTGAACTTTACTATAATGAGAAAAGGAGGAAGTTTAATAATAATACGGAGCAAAAACATAAAGAAATACAACAATCATACAAAACATGGCGTAAACCCGAAGAGGGAAAAAAGAAGGTTAATGAAGTACATGAAATACATTTCACTAATGACCAACCTGATGTTACGGCCCCTGAGCCAAATTTAGAGCTGTAGAGGTCGAACTAGTTCCCGATTCGACCCCTTACAATGTAAAAGGGAACAAAGCATTAAACATGTTATTAAAACTGGGTTGGCGACCTGGTCAAACATTGGGTAAAAACAATAGAGGGTTGCGAAAACCTATTACTTTAAAAGCAAATTTTAACAGAGAAGGCCTTGGTTATAACGACAATGTAAATAGCATATTAAACACCTTAAAAGCCAGGTCGGACTTGCCCATAACGGAGTTATTCGTGCAAACCGTCTTCGAGGAAGACGAAGATAAATATCAAAGGGAATTTATAGGGAATATGAGATCTGAAATTAAAGTTTCAATATTTGACAAAGAAATAGACGCGCTCCTCGACACTGGGAGCGATGTTACATGCATTTCAGAAAGTTTATATTTACAAATTAAAGAAAATAATCGTAAAATATCAATAATGCCAGTTAAAGCAATGCAAATAAAAGGTGCTGTTGGGCAGCGCAGCACAAAAATACAACAGATGATCATATTGCCTATAAAGATAGATGAAGTAGTCTTTGAAACACAAACTTTAATTGTAGGTAATTTAATAAGACCTTTAATATTAGGCTTCGACTGGCTCAAGAGAAATAAAATATTGATTGATTTGAGAAATACTACTGTTGGAATAGAATTTAAAGTGAAAAACAAAGACTTCTTTATACCTTTCAAATATAATAATGAATCTGTATTACATAATAACTGCATCAAACAATGTACCGATGATCCCTTAATAAATATAAAAATAGGATCTACATTGGAGGTCTCTGAAAGGGCAAAACTTAGTAAGGTTTTGGAAAAGCATAAGAATATGTTTTCGAGCAAATTGGGAAGAGCCAATTGCTATGAGCATAAAATTGAAATGATCGATGATGAACCTATAGTTACTAGGTCCTATCCCATTCCATATGCATATAGAGCGAAAATGGAAGAAAAGTTAAATGAAATGGAACAAGCTGGTATCATCACAAGGACATCAACGCCTTACAGTAGTCCATTGACATTCACTCTTAAAAAAGACGGCTCAATTAGAGTTCTGCTTGATGCCAGAAGCATAAATAAGAAAATGGTTGCAGAAACAGAGAAACCACCTATACAATTAGATGTTTTGAATTCATTTCACGGAGCGAATTATATCACTACCATTGACTTAAATAATGCATATTTTCAAATTCCGATAAATAAAGATGGTAGAAAATATACTGGATTCACATTCAATGGAAAGTCATATGTATATAATGTTTTGCCGCAAGGATTAAAAACATCAGTAGGAAGCTTTAGCAGAGCCATGAATTTAATATTAGGACCAGAAGTCCAAGAATTTTGTGTGAACTATTTAGATGATCTAGCCATTATTACAACAGGAACGTTAGATAAACATTTGGAGCACATTGATATTGTTTTAAGTAAATTGAACAAAGCTGGCTTAGCGTGTAACTTGCAGAAATGTGAATTTATTTGTAAAGAAATTAAAATGCTGGGTTTTATAATTTCAACAGAAGGCATAAAGACAGATCCCGATAAGATTCGAGCGATCCAAGAGTTTCCAGCACCTAAAAAGATTAAACAATTAAGGGCCTTTTTAGGTCTATGCAATTTTTATAGAAGGTTTATACCAAATTACAGCGAGAGCATAATACCGCTCTGTGAATTACTTAAAAAGGGACGAAAGTTCCAATGGAGTGGTAAAGAACAGAAGGCATTTGATTTTATAAAACAACAATTTATTAATACAATACAATTGCATCATCCAGACTTTAATAAGCCGTATTATTTACAAACAGATTGTTCCGGTGTGGGTATGGCCGGAGTACTATATCAGATAGATGATAATAATGAAATGAGAATTTTAGGCTATCATAGTAAAGCCTTAAAAGGCCCCGAATTAAATTGGTCTGTTACTGAACAAGAGTTTTATGCTGTAATAAGCTGCCTAAAGAAATTTGAAACATATTTGCGGGGCAGTAAAGTAATAATACTAACTGATCATAAAGCATTATTGTTTATTAATAATATGAAGTTATTCAATGGTAGAGTAACCCGATGGATTTTGTATATAGAACAATTTAATTATGAAGTACAGCATATATCGGGTAGACGTAATATTGTTGCAGATGTGCTATCACGTTATCCTCCTGATGGCGATTTAATACAAGAGGATAAAAATAATAGTTTAGAAATTGCTTACACAGAGAGCGAACCGAATATTGAGTTGATAGAAAAATTAAAATCCTTAACAGTATATCAATTACAAGATTCAGAGAGTCGTTGGCTATTATTGAAAAGTTAAAGACATTAAATACTTCCATAATAAAACAAAACAATAAATTTAAAAGATATAGTTTGAAAAATGATGTATTATATTACAAAACGAATTTACAAGAAGTAATATATTTACCTAAAGCATTGAGACAAGATATTATAAATCAAGTGCATGTCGAAATGGGTCATCAAGGACCCTATAAGGTAATTAAATATGTAAGAGAGAGATTCTTTTGGAAAGGTTTAACAAAAGATATTAAAAACCAATTAAGGGCTTGTCATTTATGTCAGTTATCTAAGAAAAGCAATATAACATATGTGGGTCCCTGCAAATCTATAATAACAGAAAACATTGGCGATATAGTCATGGCAGACTTATATGGACCGCTTGTATCAGGTACCTTTGGGTACACTTTCATATTTGTCATTCAAGATTCATTCAGTAAATTTATCAAATTATATCCTTTAAAACAGTCAACAGCAAAGTCTGTTGTAACAAAAGTAAAGCATTTTGTTGAGATTATAAAGCCCAAGGCAATAATGACAGATAATGGAAAACAGTTCGTAAGTAATCACTGGAAACAATCAATGAGAGATTTAAATATAAAGCCAATATATACCACAGTTAGAAATCCTAGACCAAATACAACAGAGCGAGTAAATAAAGAGTTGAGCAGATTATTTAGGACGCTTTGTCATACTAACCACAAAGATTGGGCATTAATATTGCCGAAGTTAGAAGAATTGTATAATAATTCTTATCACAATAGTACAGGCTTCACGCCTTGTGAAATTCTTTATGGTGAGTCTAATGAGATGTCTTTTGACAAAGTAATTTCCAAAAGCAAAGAAAAACATAATGTCGAACAAATTAGACAACAAGTGCGTAAAAATTTAAAAGAGGCAAGTCGAATAAGAAACATAAAATTTGATAAGCGAAATAGATTAATAAAATATAATATTGGTGACTTAGTAAAAATTTCAAGATCTAGTAGATCAGACGCTGATAATAAAGTTATGAGTAAGTTCAATTTGGCATATGAAGGGCCTTATGTAATAGCAGCCGTACCATTTGACAATGTATATACCTTAGCAAATCCAGAGACAAACGAAATTAGAGGAATTTTTAATGCTATTCACTTATTAAAATATTTTAAATAATAATTTCTTTTTGTATAAATTAAAATAATTAAATAAATATTGTAACATAAAAGGGTTTTGTGGGTGGCCCATGGAAATAATTGTTTAAGTTAAAGGTCTAAAATTATTAAAGTTATGAGCAAGAGATTTGTTATATGATAGTAGAACGTTATTAATATATAATGAAGAGTTGTAAATATAGATCGTAAGATAATTTTTTAATCATTTTTATTAAATAAATGTGGGAGTTGGGTCAGGGCGAATGGCTCAAACACATTTATCCTATGTGGTATCGAACTGACCTCAACAAATATCCAACTGGATTGTATGCACATAAAGTGTGACACTATCGAAATAATGTTTCAAAGATTTAAAGATAAATTAATAAAATAAGAAATCGACAATTGACTGCAAACTTTATTAACAACACGATATACAATAACTTAAATTATGGTGTTATCACATTGTGATAATTGTGGTTGAAGGGGTGTTGGTGGCGGCCATTCCCTGGGGCAAGGGGATTTGATAACATATGCCGTATTGTAACAGATTAAAAGAGGAAAGAACAGATATATAAACAATTATTTGAGTGTAGTGTATATGCTCTCAAAATACTAAAATTTTATATTAACGACTCCACTATGTGGATCATTAACATAAACTTTTGGGGGTGGATTGTGACGCCTCATAATTATTATTAATAAATAATAATTATATTCATTATACAGACATTTAAAAATGTCATAGAAATTATAATTTAAATAATAAAATGCAAATAATAAGCATAGAGTTCAAAAATATCCATTTGGAATATTGAATATTATATATATTAGTAAACGCATAAAATGTCTCAAAAAATCTCTAAATTTATTAAAAACCTGCTTAAAATGTTCAAAATATATCAAATCATATAAATACAAGGCGATTATATTGCAATAACAAAGATAAATAACATTTGTAATATAATAGAAAAAATGGATTAAAATTTTCTAAGTTGATGAAGGAGTTCGTGTAATAATTGGAAAATTTCTAAGTTAATGAACGTGTTCTTGTAATGTTCCCTTATATTGGGGCGTTGTCGGAGACACATACCCAAGGTTGTACATATATATGGGGTGGTCGGCTGACCGACTGCTAGTACTAAGGTTGCACAATGACTAGTCCTATATTAGGGACTTAACATAGTAAGGTCTGACGAACCAAAGCATTAATATGGAAGGTCTCTATGATGCATAAGCATTATGATAGCAGAGTTATGACTTGAAGTCCCATATGAACAAGACATACAGTAGTATGGTCTATGAAATAAAGCAAATATGTGGAAGGTCTCAAATATGTAAAAGCATTATATTGAAAGAAATGGGACTTGAAAAAGATTATTATAGTGGCGTGTAGGTTGCTTCGCAGCCTCTGAGACCGAGGTAAACTTGGACTCACTAACCGATGTGTCCTAGACATATCATCTTAGTGCCGGTGGTAAGCGGGTTTGTTGTAGCAATACGACTTGCCCGTGGACATCGCACACCCCTACCGGTTGTGGGCGGCGTCTTAGCGCATAGCGTTATGATACGTCGGCTATCTTTCGGATTAGGGTGAGTGTGTTTGGTAGTACTTTTAAGTGCAGCAAGCATACTCAACTTCATGTCTTAGTGCAATAGCGCTATGATACGTGGAGTTTTGGCTACTGACGTCTTAGTACCGTACTACTATGATACGTTGGTGGTATTTTTAGTTAACAACATTATCAAATTTTGTTACCAAAGTCGATAGGGATCATGTGGGTGTGTTGTGAGGGGGCGCCATCCGTATGATAGTTGCATTGATGCTTACTGCTACTTGCAGTATTGTGTCTTGTGATGGATCTGCGGGTGTGCTGCACCTGATTCGATGCATCTTGTGGTTCTGGTCGATGGAGGTATGCGGGTGGTGATGTCTGCTGGGACTGTATGGGGGACCTTGGGATGGTGTAAGCCCGACGATAGTCGTATTGATGCTTGTTGCATTCTGTAGCATTGCGTCTCTACGATGGTTGTTTGGCGGGTCGCTATTCTCAATGGCGCTCTCTGCGTCTTGGTTTGACTCACAACCTAAGTAGCTTTGCCCAAGTCGGGTCCCTTCATTGCGGGGCTGCAGACTGTCTGCCCTCCATGATGTTTTATATAACAACTTAATAATATATCTCTATAAAGTTCCCACCTTTGAGAGATTGAAGGCAACTTGTTGGTGGGTGAGACAAACATGATCGAAAAATGCATATACTCAACGTCAGTGACACAAACCCGTTCTGATGGCGAATTATTAATATTATCTTATAACTGCCTATTGGCTATATCTGCCATTGTATTGGTTGGTGGAGCATATGTGTTGACCTCATGCGGGTGGTAGCTGGAGGGAGAATCTGAGGAGGCTCTCAAGGCTGCGGCCGAAAGCCGCGCAACGTGGGACCCCATTCCCTTGAGGTGAGCGGTAGACTCATGACACGCTCTGCGGCCAATTGGCCGTGCTGACCATGCAATTGGTGGTGATGCCTTACACTTACATCACGTCTGCAGAAACGGCGGTCTGGCAGGTGGTGGCGCTCACGGAGGGCTTTTTATGGTCAGTGTGCCGATTGTTGCCTAACCCGTGTGACGTACATTTCACTGTGGCTGGATTTGATCGTATTCTGTATGGCGTTTACACGCATTGACATGCGCGACTTCGGTCGATGTTTGTGCTTACGCACTATCAAGGGGCCAAGTCCTCTTTTACTGGTTCGCCAGTTATTTTGCTGTGGACTACGGTCCAGTTCCCAAATTTGCGTACCCTTCGGGGGGAGCGCATTAAAATGGTTGGCGCTCACCGTGCGCGGCGTGTGTGGGGCCGTGTACCTCCTCCACATTTTTTTTTTAAAATGTGGGAGAGCGAAGCCCTTGTAACTGGTATTTGATATAAATATTGTGAGCCTTTTCCAAGCGGGAAGGGATTAATTAATAAGGAATTGACTGTTGTGAACCAGATACAAGTGGAATAGGGACAATTTATTGTTCTTAACCTTTTTGAGCTCTGTCTTAGTGAACGGGGTTCTCTAGCTTATAAGACTCTACCAACAGCTTTCGATTGCTCTCGTGAATATTCATTCTTCCAAGATACACCTAAAAGAACTAAGTTACTATACAAACACAACGTAAAAAAGGGTCCTAACTAAGACGATCACGCCATAAAATTATTAAACGGCCTATATTTAAACCTTTAGAAAGATCAAGTTATACTGGTCACGTAAATTAGATGTATTTATATATCTTACAGATATAGATTCTAAAGAAATACAAGTATAAGTGGGATATACTAGAAAAGAAAAAAGATGGGGGGGGGGTTCGTTACAATTTGGTGCCGTGACCAGGATAGAGGTTAAATTTTAAATAGGAGGCCGGTAATATAAAATTATGAGGTAGGCTATATGCCTACAATTTGTTGTCCGTGAAATGGAGAGTGGTGTTTGCTGGGGGTGGTTGAGAGTCTGGGGGTGGGGCTTAAATATTAAAATGGAGTAATAATATAGGAGGTGTGTGCATAACGGAGCGAAATAATAAAAAGTGAAATAAGTGGAAAGACTCAATTAAACCAAGTGAAGGACACAACAGGTGTAAAAAAAAAAAAAAGAAAAAGAAAAAAACTGCAATACTATATATTATAAAGTGAAATAAGTGGAAAGACTCAATTAAACTAAGTGAAGGACACAACAGGTGTTAAAAAAAAAAAAACTGCAATACTATATAGTATAAAGTGAAATAAGTGGAAAAACTCAATTAAAGTAAGTGAAGGACACAAAAAGTGTAAAAAAAAAAAAAAAAAAACAAGTGGTAATAAATATTAAAAATGGCTAAAAATAAGAAAAAATCAACCTCA